CACAGGACCAGTGCTTGCAAACTAGGAATTATCAAGCACATATACTAAAATATTGTGCCAGCTCAAAATGCAGATTCTGTGATAAATATCCAGAAACGATTGATCATCTTGTATCAGGTTGCACGATATGGGCACCCACTGAATATAAAACCCGGCATGACAGAGTGGGCCAATATCTGCACTGGAAAATCTGCAACTTCTACGGGAAGGAAACTGAAAGAAACTGGTATGAACACCACCCAGACCCGGTTACGGAAATAGGACCTGTTACAATTCTATGGGATTACACAATACACACTGACAGATCAATCAAAGCCAACCACCCAGGCATTGTTATTAAAGACCACAAACAAAAACGGTGCCTCCTTATTGATATGGCAGTCCCTGCTGACTGCAATGTATCTTTGAAGATATTCAAAAAGCTGTCAAAATACAGGGACCTTGAAATCGAAATCTCAAAAATGTGGCATATGGGAACATCAATAATCCCTGTTATAGTTGAAGCCCTAGGACTGGTTGGAAAAGATTGCAGTAGACTCATTGAAGGGATTCCTGGAAGTCCATGCCTTAAAGAGATACAAAAAATTGTTCCTTCGAGTACAGCCCACACTTTACGAAGGTCTTTATCTATGTACTTTTTTTTGTCAGTGGAAAGTGTCATGATGCCATTTCTAATCTTAGGTCCCTGGGCGGGACCCGGAAAGAAATGTGTAAACACCAGAAATCAAATAAAATAATAATAATAATAATAATGATGATGATGGAAAATGTTTCAGTGTTGTCATCGGCATAGATAAATGTACAAAAATAATATTCAAGAAAGGGAAATATACAGAAACACGCTTAATAGTTCTAGGTTCTGTCACAAAGATTAGGGAACTGGAACAAGATGAAGCCTATAAATATTTAGGAGTCAGTGAAAAAGATGAAATTCAGAATGTTCAAATAAAGGAGAAAGTAAGAAAAGAATTCTAGAGGCGTGTACGTCTGGTGTTAAATACCGAGTTGAATTTACAAAACAGAATATCACCGATAAACACTTTGGCTAGGCATTTAGTGCAATACAGTTTCAACATCCTTAATTGAACCCTAACTGACATTAAGCGAATGGATGTAAAAAACGTGAAAAACATCCTATGCTTCTTCCTAAGGATTTTTTTGTTAACGCCTAACAAAACCCGTAGTCCCGTAATTTAATGGAGTTTCACGCATTTAAAAACGAGCAGTCTTTTGTTGAAATTCGTAACATTTCCTTCCGGGTAAAATACTTTGAGACTTGTATGAATTCATCTCTTCACCCCCATCCAGTTATGCGTTAAATCGTAGAGCAGACTGGGCTTATCAGCATTGGTTGTCAACCAGCCTAGGAGAAGCATGGGAAGGAGTAAATTATTTTACAATTTACAGTTTATGGCTAATCGTAATCAGAGACCACAAAAACAGAATACGCTTTCTTACCGTCTCTGCATATTGCAATTTTTCTTTGAAAACCCTATCAAAATATAAGGATCTTGGAATTGAAATCTTAAAAATGTGGCACAGGAGGACATGAATAATTTCAATTGTATTTGAAGCCCTCAAATTGATTGGAAAACATCCCGATAGATTCATTGAAGAGATTGATGATAGCCCATACGTTAAAGAAATACAAAATATTGTACTCACAAGTAGATCTCACACATTACAAAGAGCTTTATCTCTGAAAAAATTTGTTTTTTTGCTTTTTTTTAGAAAAATCCTCAGTGGAAATTATCATGATGCCGTTTCTGAGCTTAGATCTCTGGTTGGCACCCGGAAGGAAATGTGTATATAACAGAAAAAATAATAATAATAATAATAATAATAATAATAATGAAAAATCAGTCACCACATATCCATGATTAAATTACTTAAAATGAAATCCAACTATTCATCTTTTCAATTCTAATTGAAGAAAAGAAAACTGAGTATTTTATAAGCCAAGTCTCATTGTTTGCGGTCATTAACGAGAGTCTCGTGACTATTTCGAGAACACGCAAGACTGAATGCTTTATTAAGTGCTTGATAGGATTTTTAATGATTTCATTGACAGGACAGACTTGAAAGCTTTTGTTCAAATACATTTTTTCGTCTGTCTTTTCTGTTTGAGAAAAAGATTTTCATTTCTCTGCAATTAGATAAATCTCCCGTATTCTGTCTTTTCTATACGACAAACAAAAAAAATAAATAAATAAAAAAAAAATAAATAAATAAAAATAAATAAATAAATAAATAAATAAACTAACACGATAAAAGATTCGTCATTTTAATAGACTACCTTGCGGAAACAAATGAATTTAACTGATCGTGACAAAATATTTAAATTTTATTTCCGGTGAACTTGCACGTAAGACGATTACCTCTTGTGTCTAAAGTCTAAGACGATGTCAGTTCAAGTGTGGCTTGAACCAACATCTGACAACGTTTTCTCCAGTGAAACAAGAACGAAGGCTAATCCAAGAAAAAAAGAAACAAAAAAGAAAAAAAATTAAAAAAAACGTTTTTTCGATATTATTTTCTCTTTTGTCTTTTCAAATTGAGATCAATATCCATAATTTACGATGAATGTTTCAAAATAATGTTCGCACAAAAACGTTACTGATTGGTTCTTGTCAAGGTTGACTATTGGTGCAACAGCTTTTTCCTCTCTAGCTGCTGTTTGTGCAAGCGAGCCAATTATACATGCCGTGGCCTGCTCAATTACATATTCACCCACTTCATTTTCTGTAAACTACTGTGGCATGCCTGTGACGAGGACATTTTTCGTAACAGATAACAATTATATCGGTTAATTTGAAGTTTAACAACCGCCGTCAGTTCGCATTAAAAATTTCCAGAATTCTTACATTTATGTGTAATTGTACATGCTTCATTCGAATCTGGCTTCATAAATTTGATAAAATCTACCGTTTTGGAGTTATCGGCAGTGAAAGTTTGGGTTCATTCGCGACGCGGGCAGCCATTACGGGCGTTGTTTGTATACATTCGCTGCAGAATAGCTATCAATAGAGATATCAGTGCGCAAACTGAGCGTGTCTCCGTAAATAGTTCTTGTGCGTAGTAATTGCGACAAATTTAGACAAGAAAAAATAGTTTTGAGCTTAGATTTCCGTAGTCTTCCGCGTTAACTTTCCGCAGTGAATGTATACAAACAACGCGAGTAATGGCGGCCGACAACGATGCGAATGAATCCAAAATTTCACTGTCGATAACTCCAAAACGGTAGATGTTATCAAATTTATCAAGCCAAACTATATGCGATGGATAAATTGTCATCTAAATCAACCACGCCATTCAGATAGTTTCGGAATCTCATGCAAATCTTCTGAGTGATCTCCTTGTTTAAGTTGGTGAATGCTGCCATAACCATTGTCTTCAGTTCATCTTTGTTTCATCTCTGGTTTTGCAAAGAGTTTTGTTGGTCTCTCGCTCAACTGTGCCCCACACATAATAATCAAGGGGGTTGCAGTCTGGGGAGTTAGTTGGATAGATGTAAGGGGTGATGTGTTTTCAGAAACTGTCTCACAGCCATGACTGGGTTCTCCTGCTTGTATGGCATGGTGCAGTGTCCTGTTGCCAGACATAGGGTCTTCCAGCAGCCACCCTTTTCACCCAGAGCAGCACTACCTCCTCAAGTTATTTGACGTAGACCCCGTGTTGGTTTTAAGGCCCTACGGGAAGATGAATGGAGGCATAACGTCGCCATCACTAGTGATCATCTTCGTAATCACCATTAGACTCATCCAACTCTTTCCGAATCCTCTTCATTATCCTCAGATTGACACCCAAACACTATGAAATATTCGTATCGAAGCTTCCGGTGCGAATTCCAAGTAGTACAGCGTGTCGTTTCCAAATTTTTGACGGAGTGAATTGGGTCAAGGTGCTCGTTTTCCCATAGATGTCTTTACTACACTGTGCAGTCGACAAGATAAATAAAAAGAAAAAAAAACAACGTACATGGGCGAAATGAAGAATATAAAAAGGCGACAATTGTAGATGAAGTCGTGTAGACTGTAAACATAAAAATAAAACTATAAAGACTTCAGGATTAAGCAATAAAGGAAAGTAGGAAGAAAGGACTAACTATCCATTCTATGAAGAGAGAATATATAGTTGCAACAGCCAAAATGTTCAATGTCTAGAAAAGACAGAAGATGTGACAAAGAAATCCGAAGGCGAAAATAAAAAAAAATAACTTCAAAAGCTAAAAAAAATCTAAAAAAAACAAAAAACAGGGAAATATTATTAAAAACAAAGCAAAGAGTGCTCCAATTTATTAGTATATTAGTGCCTTCTTAAGTCTTTCTTCGAAGGGAAACAAATAACATTACAGAATTTTCTTTGTATTTTATCAAGACTCTCTAAATACTTAGCAGATGCACTAGACCACATTTGACAAAATTGCTGTCACATCTGGTCTGTATTCTGTGTTTTTTTTCTTTCTTTTTATCTCTCAATGCGTGTCATTGGAATCGAACAACTTGTACGTTGACACAAATAAGTAAAAACCTTTCAGACATTTTCGGAGTGTTTGCGCATGCGTCTCTGTATATTCATGCGTTTACTCGCTTGGTTATATGTGTGTATGGGTTCATCCATGTCTACTTGTGTGTGCATTTTAGTGTTTGTTTTGCATGCGTTTCTGTAAGAAAACAACAGTAATAGTAGATGTTTATTAAGTCTCGTCTTTGTAAGAAAATCTATCTGCATAGATGTGAATCTTTCTGATTGTTGCTACGGTGTTGGGAATGTCAATAGGACATGACAAGGGATTCAGATTCAGGGTTGGATGGTTGCTAAGGATTGCATAGATGGAGTCGAGGGAGGTGTTGGTCAGTGCATGAAATTAGTGACTATTGTGACTCTCCCAGCGTAGTCGCTGCGCGTCCTGGATGTCTGGCTTTGTGTACCGCTCGAAGTAGGTTACTGCTATCGACGCTGATTCATTATTTAACTATCGGTGGTTTCTGCATGAGAACGAGGCTTGGATAAGAGAAGAAAAAAAGTGAGCAAGAGGGAATAGGAGAAGAAAGAAAAGGAGTAGAGAGATTATGAGAACGAGAGTGAGAGAAGGGGTTTAGCGAAGCTATAAGAGTATGAAAAAAGAAAAAGAAGAAAGATATAAGAAAGTGAAAAAAAGAAGAAAAATAACAGATGTTAGAGAGAGAGGGAGAGAGAGAGTGAGAGAGAGTAACAAGGTGAGAAGTAGAAATATTCTAGACAAGCGAAAGAGGAATATAGAGAGAATGAAAGAAAGAAGTATTATACGGAGTATGGTGATTTTCTAAGCGTATCTTAGATGTGGCACAAGGTCGAAAAGACGGAGCACCTAGTGAGGATCAAACTCACTATACAATCGTAACTGATCTAGCGAGATAAGCTTGTTAACCATTACACCACGTCGAGGTGCCCAATGTTAAAAAGAGTATAGAAGAAATATTAAGAAGATGTTAGAGAGAGTATAAAAGAGAGAAAGAAAGATGTTTGAGAGGGACAGTGAAAGAGAGAAAATGAAAGATGTTAGAGAGTGCATTAAATATAGAAAGACTAAGATATTAGAGAGAGTATGAAAGAGAGAACGAGAACGATTTTAGAGAGTCTATTAACGGAAAAAGAAAGAGAAACAAATTTGTGAAAGTAACAAGGAGAGAGAGAGAAAGAGAGAGAGAAAGAGAGAGAGAAAGAGAGAGAGATAAATATATCAGAGAGAGTAGGAAAGAAAGAAAGATTAATATGTCGGAGAGGGTTTGAGAGAGAAAGATGTGAGAGTATGAAAGAGAGAAACAGAAAAGTCTTAGCGTATAAAAGAGAGGAAGAAGAAGTATGTTAGAGAGAGTATCGAAGAAATAAAAAGAGAAAGATGTGTGTGTGAGAGAGAGAGAGAGAGAGAGAGAGTTGAGGAGAGTAAAAGAAAGGGGATCAAAGAAAGCATGAAAGAGAGTAAGAGAGAAAGAAAGATGTAAGGACAAGTATGGAAGAGAGAGGGAGAGAGAGAGAGGGAAAGAGAGAAATGCCACATTGATAAAGAGTGAGTTGGATGTGGTAGAAGAACACACATAACATAAAAAAGACTAGTGAAAAATTGAAAATTTTATGCGTTATGCTCAAATGGAGAAATGAATGTGGTATCAGTCTCCATATATATATATATATATATATATATATAATTATTTATTTAAAAATATGATTCCAACGCTACATAAGAGTTCTCATGTTTCAAAACAAGAGCCGAAAACTTCAATATAATTATTTGAATTAAAGTAACAAGCTCTGTTCCATCTTCAAGCGAAATTTATTTTGGAATAACTTATTTCTGAAATTTACGCGTTTTATAAGCATATTCATTATTGAAATTAAGATTACTATGGTAACGGCTAGAGCAATTGTTTAAAGAAAAGGGGCGTAAGGGTTAATAATTTGTATCAATATCTCAGTTACATTTAAAGACGTCAAGTCAGGGTAAGGTTGGGGTGTCTAAATTTAAAGCAGAAGATGACATCGTCTAGTCTGGTTAAGTGTCTATGGAGATTTATTTATTTTTTTATTTTATTTTTTATTTTTTTCTGAAAGGGTTTTGTGTATATAAAAAACTGTCGTAAGTCGCTAACATTTGTTTTTTTGACGACTTCATAAAGGGTTATCTTTTTTTTTTGGTAGGGCGTTTAAACTTTTTATTTAGACTATGGAGTTTAAAAATTATTATATTGTTTGTTTCTTTTTATGCTAATTATTCAATGCGAAAATTTGATGATGTCGGCAAAAAAAATGTTAACTTATGTCTATTGTTTAATAGATTTTTATTATTTAGAAACTTAATAATGTGTAGTTTCTCATGGAGGCACAAAGGGCATGGGTCATCCCAAGTTTTACAAGTTCTAGCTTTGTTTATAACAAAAATACTAAAGAACTAATCGTCAGACGATTCGTGTCCTGACGATTGCGTCTAGCATGAAACAGCCTGTCGCCTCTAAGTGTTGACTTCAATGTTCACTTTTATATTTACACACGCTCTATCTCTGGATATTGAGCACTTTATCCCATAAATATAGCACACCTTAAGACTATATTTCTTCATATATATATATATATATATATATATATATATATATATATATATATAATGAGTACAGAAGCTTTAAAAATGTATCTGGTTATAGTTTATTTCATGAATTTTTTACATTCATCTTTTCAGACCAGCGCTTTGTTAATAAATCATGTCAATTTATCCAGACGAAAGGTAAAGAAAAAAGTTTGAATATTAAAAGAAGAAGAATATAAGGTTTTTAAAAATTGGGCGGTGGGTAGAGAAAGAGATGGAGAAGGGGAGTGAATGTCGTCTTTAGAATTATCTCTACTAATTATCAATTGATATATCACTATTTCCCATTCTAGTTACACGTGCAACCCGTTTTTTTTTGTTCCTGCTGCTTCTGCTGAAAGTTTTCAAGTAATGTGTTTTTTTAATAAGCAATTTTTTAGGAAAGTATATTTCATCATTCCACTAAATGTTATAGATCTTTCTCATATTCACAACTATATCCGCTTTTTCTCGTGCTCATGGGAGTTTCCTTCGTCACCTTTTGTTTCAGCTAGTGTGGAAAGTAACATCTTAATTATATAATTAATTTTTCTTCAAGCTACGTGTGCTAATTTATTTAGATATGCTGAAGTCAGCTAAGACTGGCACAAGGCCAGAAGCATTGAGCTCTTAAGATGGATAGAACTTCTGAGATTGCCATGCTGACCACTATTAACATGACGGATTATTTGGCTGACGTAAGTTTAGACCAGCACAAGGCTTAGTGTAGAGGGACCTACTGAGTAACGTAACACTTCATCAGTAGGAAATGTTTAATAGCTTGCAACTCAGATCAGACACCACATTCATTGAAAGGGTGTGGTTTCTTCTAACGCAACGCCGGTGGATTAAAAATTATCCTTCGGTCAGAACGTTACCCACGCATGAAAAAAACAAAAAAACGCAAACTCTAGCAGTAAGACAGATTTTAGTCTTGCTTTCTAACCTACTGGTATAGGTGAATGTGGGAGGTGTTGAACAGTCTAACTGGTGTCTTCCCAGTTCGTTCTCCGCGGTTCGCTTCGTCCTGTCTGTGCGCCTATTCGCGCGATGGTCAGCTTTATAGATATAATTTTTTTGTCGTGTCATCTTCGTTTAAAAAAGTAATTTATCTTCCTTCCGTGACTTTCTCTCAGTCCGAGCCACTTGCTTTGTACTTTGAAGTTGATAACCATCGGTCGAAAGTAAATGTTCGGTATCATTTTTGTGACAGGTCTCGCTGTTTTCAATTTAACAAGACTTTATCTGACTGATATTAGTAATTATTACGAAAAACATTTGAGAGCTTTTTTGATAGCTCGCATGGAAAACTCAGCGAATTTTTGACATGAAAAGGTTGTTGTTGATGAGTAATGCCGTTATATAAGTATAAATTGTTACTCTCATCTTACATCGAATCTAACGTAATATTACCTTTTTCGTCTATTAATTTCGTCTTCTTTTTCTGCCATTTGGAAAACGTGATAATGTTGTTTTGACTTACCTGGTAATAATCCTTTAACAACGAAGACAGTAGGGAGATAAAGATGAACTCTCGTTAACGCAAGCTGCAATTGCAGAAGAGAAACAAAAAAAAAAGAATCGGAAGCGAGATATTTCTGCTTGTTTGGACAATGGCAGAAGCAACGCCTTCTAACATCAAGAAAACATCTGTATTTTTTTTTGTCTGTTCTTGCTCCAGTGATTCTCAGGCAGCGCGTTTAGCCCACCCCAGCCTTTTCATTCAGCAATTTCCGATTATTTTTAGATTACTGGATAATTAAAAGTGCATTTACCGTTTGTTTCGTGTTTGACTAATAGTTTTAGAAACCCCACTGTGACAAAACCAATTTTGGAACAAGTTCTGCACACGTTCTACTTTGCGCTGGATATTATATTGACTGGATACAGAAACGCCAAACAAATCAGCATAATTTTAAAGAAATTTAAATCACACAACGCGAAAAGGAGAAACACGTTTATTATCTAAGACAAGGTCGATGAACTTTAAGGTATTTCCATTATCAGTTTTTTAAAAATACTGCTGCAGAGGGCTTCGGCGTGGAATAAGGGTCTGCGAGGATAGTTCGATTTGTTTAATACTAGAATTCACTCTATACAAGACTCGGGAGCCACTCGAGGTAGAAGGTTACTATTATAAACTTAATAATGACGAATGTGTGATATAAATGAAAGAGTGGGTAGTTAGGGGTAAAGAGTGTTATGAAGAGGAAATACCTTGAATTGGTTGTTATTATTATAGTATTAAGGGAAGCACACACGCAGGAGCCACTAAGTAGTACTTAGGAAAAACAACTGAATGGACTTCCCTCCAAATGGAATACAAGAGAAATGAGGTTGATTCGACTCTGTGGAAGCAGTCTACTATCTGTAAAGGTATGGAATTGTGGAATTAACGAGCCGAGATCATCTTAACATCTGCTGTGGAAATAACGATAGCTTGGCTTTAGGCTAGCAACGTTGCGTCTCTGGAGAAAGAGGCTGAAGATATTGAACGCCGTCAATTCTGAAGTGAGAAATGAACAATGCCTGCAAAACCCTGTTTGGGCGGGATCTATTAATATGACATCTACAGCTGCTTAGCACTTCCTGAAATGATAAAATGTTCTGGGCATTATTTTTAGCAAGGGAGCGATCCGTTTGACTTCGGAAATAAATTTGAGACTCGTTAGGCTGCTTGATTTATTTAACGGCATATCAATTCTTATATGGGTCATTTAATACGGAAACTGAATTTTCTTGGGAACTTTGAAGTCATGAAAATATATGTTATTCTACCTTCGCAGTTGAATACATGGTAGAGAATACTCAGCTTTTGTGTATATAGAGTTTTATGTGGATACGTTTATTAGATGCGAATACATGTGTATTTTATGTTGTTGTTTTTTATTCATATTTTGGAATATAGTCTGATTTAATAAATTGTAGTATATTATATAGATAAATGTAATGAAATAGTTTGTTTCTGTTGGTTGAATATATTAAGCGGCATATCAACATCTCTATGGGTTATTGAATGTCAAAATCTAAATAACTACAATAATTGTATGCCTTCAACATCAGATGAAATGTATTGCTGTGCATTTTACTATATATATTGTTGGTATTTTTTACATAAAACTGTATTGCTGATATTCTTACTGTAAAATATATTTCTATACTTTCATAATGTTTGCAGAAGTCACTATTTGCCCATAGCTGGGACCCTAACAGGTGCTACCACATCGGTTCAGGGCGGAACGAGGAACAATCACCTATTAAGAGATGAATCCATGCTCCTCAAAACCCCCAATCTGTCAATTAGAGACTTTGCTACCGGATGTAGCTCAGCATCATACCCTGCACTTGACTCGATAGGCAGTCAAGCATGACCTCATTAAGAGTACCAACGCTTATTCTAACTGGAGAAAATGCCGGAACGGTGAAGATTAAAACAATACTAGCTTGAGTTTTGAACTACCGAAAATTAGCCTTCATTTTTGTGTATAGAGCTATGAGAACAAAGTCAGTTTAGTGATCATTTGCAAGGCTCTAAACACATTGATTTTTTGACGCGTGTTCTGATTAAGCATTAGTAGTACATTAGATCATCCATTTTTAGTCATTTCAAAATTTCAACATTGAATAATCCGACAAGTGTTAACAAATCATAAAAACAGGCGCGAAAGCCTTGCCTTTTATAATTTTAGCACGTTGAAGACATTTTAGAACCGTTTTTAAAAGAATTTCTTTTGGCATATCAAATAACGAAATAAGCTTGACTTGTCATGTTCTGGTCGCAGAAGTTGGCTAGAAAAAATATTGGAATTAGAGTCAAGTTATTTTCCTTAACATATTTTGACGTAAAACGTAGAATAGATTCTTTCAAACTGCCAAAACGAAGCAAGGTAAAATAGATGACATTATTTCCGTTTTGTCCTTTTTAATCCAGACTACGTTTTCGACGAGACCTTCATATGGATGTCAGGCTTGGCGCCAAAACCCGTTCAGAAA